AAAAAAAAAAAAATGAAAAAATGAAAAAAACGTTACACGACGAGCGACTCGATCGAAAACGACGGCGGTAGACACTCGCCGGCGACCGGACGTGATCTGCACGACGGCGGTGATGACGAAAAAAGATTTGTTATTATTATTGTTGTTGTTGTTGTTGTTGTTGTCGTCGTCGTCGTCGTCGTTGCGGACGTTATGACGCCTCTCCTGCCACCGCTTCCTCGGCCTTTCTACGGACGTGTACCGCGGTCGCTCTGGTTGTCGAACCGGACCGGATCACTGCGTACGACGGTCTTCTTCTCTGGGGCGCCCTACACGACGATCGCGGTCTATCGGTACGTGTGCGGTGTGCGTGTGCGTACCGCGCGCGTGAGTACGTACGATTGAATGACGACGACGACGACGACAACGACGATGACGACGAGAGATAGTAGCGCACTACGTGGAATGGGAAGGCGCGCAACGTGTTTGTAGTGGTTTGTTGTTGTAGTAGTAGTTGTAGTAGTAGTAGTAGTAGTAGTTGTAGTAGTAGTAGTAGTAGTAGTAGTAGTTGTAGTAGTAGTCGTAGTCGTAGTGATGACTGGTGGTCGCCGCCGCCGCCGCCGTCATTACCACCACCATCGCCGCAGCCGCCTAATAATAAAACGTTCTACAATAACCACACGTCGCGTTATAGCCGCCGCCGTCGCCGCCGCCGACTGCAACTAGGCCGCCAAGACGAGATGCGTGCGTGCGCGCGACCGTTGCAATATTCCGCGCCGCCGAGTGCAGTTACAGCTGCCGCCGTCGGACGCTCCTCGGCCCTCGTCGACGGTGCATCGACGTTCGCGTGCTGGGACGACCGCCGGATGTGTTGATTTCCCCCTCCACCCGTGTATGGTGTGACACTGTAACGTAACATGTCGCACGCGGAAACAGTTCCGGCGGAAGACGTCGCGTATAATTTACGCTTAGTTCCTGCAGACAATTGTACACGTTCAGTTTATGGCTGTATACCTGTCGTTCAGACGTACCGAACGCACTGTAATCTCGATCCATAAAAATATATTTGTTGCCGACAACGAGGTGCACACATCGTCAGAGTTTTCGTTTTATGTACCTAAAAACTGGTTACAATTCGTTAAGATCCTTACACGCTACAGGCGAATAGTTCGCGCCCAAAATTAAGCGTGGGCGATCGATCGCGGTCGATGGCGGATTTTTAATTCGCTCGCTTTACGTAGTGTGTACGATCTAATTTAATACAATCTGTTTAATTTTAAGCGAACGTTCGCGGCGATTTAAAATCGCGTCCGCGCGCGAACTATTCGCCTAATGTGTATAAAAGCTTTTATACGTATTGTTAGTAGGTAATCGCCTACGTAGGTATAGTCGAGTATTCGCGTAATCCATACCGTAGTAATTATCTATTTTACGAAACGATTACGGATAAAGGCGCCTTGTGCGTTTTGTTTAATAAACAAAAACATAGATTTTTACGATTAAATAATACTAGGTACATGGGTTATTGACAATTTTGAATGTTTCAAAAAGTATGAATTATATTGATGTCGATGAAAAGTGATGTTTCTTTTTAATACGGCGCTTGTGTGTCAGGTATTAGGTATAATTTTATATTGGTGCTTACGTTCTACTAATTTTGGCACGATTGATTGTATGTATTTTTATACCTTCGGCACTTATATAATATACTAGCCAACAGTTCCTGTGTGTTCTGTTTCCAATGCAAATCGTATTCTGAGTACGGATTCGTCGCAGTATATAGACTGTTAAGAATTTGAGATTGACTTGAACAGGTGCGCTGTCAGGGTTATTTTAAAGGAGTGTTTTAATTTTATTTTTATAACTAAAATATAAAATATCTGAGACCCTTACACACTGCCCATCGTAGACATCAATCTTCATACATTAATTGCATCAAACACGAAATAAAACCGTATGACAACATATTTTATAGAAATCTGTATCATTTATGAACTTATGGTACACCGTATACATTTATAATATGTATATATAGTATATATATTTACATAAATACTTTGATAGGTGGAGGGAAGGTAGTGTTTAAACAACCAAATTATCTCCTAGATACGTCAATGGACTTAAATGGTATATTTGTTGTAGGCATATGGCCAAATCAGTCATTTTATTAAATGCCTAGGCATATAGTCAAAGAATTTAATGTTTATGTAATTTCACTATCTGCCTAGACATTTAGTTAAATGGCTATTTCACGCCAGGCAAATAATAAAAAAACATTTTGTATTATTTTAAAAATTTAAATATATTTTCTATCAGTTATTTATTGCTATTTTATATATAAAAAAGGTATGTATTATTTATTGATATGAAAAACACTTAGGTATATGAAATAATATGTTTAATTTCGTGTTCATTATTATTTAGTATTGTTTTAAAAATAAAATCATAAATATATACAAGTAATAACTAATTAGATGTGATAGACATAAATGATAGTACGAATATGTTGTATAGCCTATAGTCAGTATAGTACGAATAGTGAGTACTGAGTACTATATATTCTTATTAAATAAAAAGAAAAGTTCCATTGGTTTTACTTTGGAAAATTAACTTAGGTACTAGGTTGTATGAGAAACTTATCTATATTGAGTACCGTGGGACAAATTATAATCTTATCGATTATAAATAACGACATACATATGATGTTACGGAAAAAGATATAGAACATGCGATTGAATTGTACAATAATTTAGTTTAATACGTGTATTACGTTTACGTAAATCGTATGTAGTGTGACAACAAGTAATAGGTAACAAAAACTTGTAGTTATAATATAACTTTTTTATTTATTTTTTATGATTTCATTTTTAAAACAATAATAATAGTGGACACGAAATTAAACGTATTATTTCACATAGTTATTATATTATTATTATTATTTTATTTTCTACGTTTTTTACATATCAATAAATAATACATACAATTTTTTATATATAAAATAGCAATAAATAACTGATAGAAAGTATATTTAAATTTTTAAAATAATACAAAATGTTTTTTTTATTATTTGCCTGTCATTAAATAGGCATTTAATTAAATGATTAGGCATTTAACTAAATGTCTAGGCAGATAGTGAAATTGCATAAACATTAAATTCTTTGACTATATGCCTAGTCATTTAATAAAATGTCTGATTTGACTATATGCCTACGACATATTCACTATACTTACGTTCGTTTGTTTCTTTTTTGACCTTAGATGTCGAGTGTAAACAAAAAGTTGAATGTAGTGGTCAGACGTTGGATTTCCACGTAACAAATTCAAACGATATGTTTTTACCGGTTTCACATTAAACATACCGTTGAAATAAATATATAATACTAAACAATACGTCTTTAAATATCTATACTGCGTAGGTGCCAAACAATGACTGATAGACTGTTGTAAATATGAAGTGTCAGCAAATTATCGCTTTCAACTATGATATTCAAACCCATTGGGTTTTTTTTTTTACGACATTTCAATTACTCAATGAACTATGAACTTTTTTATGGTGTAATATTTTATACTTGCTCATCACTAGATTAAAAATTAAAATATCGAAAAAATACAATGTACAAACACAGATAATGTTCTTAATAGTAAACTTTGAGTTTGATAAAAGATCAATTCACTCACCATTCTTACATTAAAGCTAACAAAAAATGAGTTCTATTGAATATAAATTTTGATTGATGCGATAGTGGCATCATTGGCATCCTATTAACATTTAAATAAACATCAAAATCGACAACGACCGATAAAACATTCAATTATAATAAATAATTTAATATGGTATATATAACATTATTTATTAATTAGTTATACAAATTGTTGTAAAACTATACTTATGAAGAAAATCACTTAATATCATTAATTAACGGTACCTATACTGTATAATAAAGTTATCGTATACATGGCATTATAGGTCAAATTTTATTGTTTACAAAAGTCCTATTTATTGTGCTTGTATCGACCCATATTAAAGGCAAAGGATAATGAATGCTGGCGGCATTATCAAATTTATCAGTGGCGCCTATTTAATGTTGTATAACTTAAAGTTATATGAATTATGAATCTTAACAGTAGCGTGTAGGATGCGAATTTAACGGTTGAGTATTAGAGGTGGATGGTGATTTTTAAATTTGAAATATGCGACATATTTTCGTGTATTATATTATATTATACTTATTAAATGTCAGATGTGTAACTATAAAGTCAGGCTAGGAATGTAATTATTATAGTAGTTCAATAGTTGAGTGTGCTAACTGCCAGAGGGGAAATATTCTAGGAAACAATTTTTAAAGGGGCATTTACCGAACACAAAGCACATAATATAAATGAATTTTTGATTGCAGTAGATGTAATATTATAATATATAGGTATTATTAATTATCATAACAGGTACTCCGCGCGCGTTGTTACCAGAAGTAAGTAGTATACATTTTCGTTTAAATATACCGTGTTATTGGAAGTGCTAAAAACTGCTTAAAAACAGTGAAATTTGCTTTCGAAAATACCAAAATATATTATATATTTTAATAACAATATTAGACATATAAAAAACTAAATATTCAGTAACATTTCTAAACAATGGACATGAAAAATTATACGCAACACGACCTTAACACGTTAATTTTGAATTTAAACAATTGTACATTTTTTTTTTATTTTTTCATCATAAAATCTGTTCAAATATTTAGAAAATGAAGTGAATATAGTGTATGAGAAAAAATAAAAGAATTATGGTTCTCAAAGTGAAGAAACTTCTGTTGGAAAAATTTTGACATGAGAAATTTTAAACGTGAAATTGAAATTTGTGTGATGTATAAATGTATAATATTTAACACTTTTTCATATTGAAATTGAAACTATAATTTCGACAAAATATCCGATAAATAAATATTTTACTTACTAAAAAAAAATAACAGTAATATAAACGAATGCATGATTATTCATTTTTTTTCTGTTTTTATTAATATGTGTTTATTTAAAGTTGTCCCTCTATATTTGATTGAATAAAATGATTTACAACCAGAAATAATAGTGGTAAATCGTTATGATCAGGGTTGGGATTTTATAGTATTTGCATATTTTTTATGAGATGCTTAAAATATAGCAGAGTAAGCTGAAAATGTGTTTCATAATACAGAGAACTCAAATTAAAAATTTAATTTTTTTTTTTTTTTGCATATTTTGCGATTTTTTAGTTTTTTAGTGCTTTTTTTTGGACTTTTTGCATTTTTACCTGTTTTAGAATTAAAATCGGCTTTATTTTATGAAATTATCTTTTAGTAAAACGTGTTTTAAAATTTTTGTCAATCGAATTATCAAGTAAATTGTAAATGTATAAATTAAGTAAATAAACCGATTACGCTGATATAACACCGTGTGATATGGTACAATCACAGCGATAATATATAGGTATAATATAATATTACGATAATTTCGTATTAGATATTTGGTTTTAATTTTTGTTATCAGCTGATTTTGATGGGGTTTTTGTCGATTTCTGCTATACAATTTCCTTTTTTTTGCATATTTTGTTGTTTTTATCGCATATTTAGCAATATTTTAGGTGATATTATAGTGCATATTTATGTTATTTTAAGTTCAATACAATTGCAACCCTGGTCACGATTAAAACTCTAGTGATCAAAAAATAAATATAAAACACACGTACAAAAAACAAACATTTAATCACAAATAATAATCAAACGCATATAAAACGATCGTACAATGCGCACGTACGGTTTAGATACAATGCGTGATAAGTAAAATAGCTTATACGTATGCAAGACGTATTTGCGCTCGATATGACACAATAAATAATATATTATTGCCGCTTTAGGTCTATCGACGTCGGATGTATTATTATTATTACTTACGTTAAAAAATATTATTTTTGTTATTATTATTTTTTATCGATAATTTATACGTCATAAAGGGTGATTCTTTTGTGAATCTTTGAACATTCATTAATTTAAAATCTAATCATGTTTTTGTAAATATTTTTCTTGCATAAATTCCAGTCGAATTAAAGCAATATATATTTATTTTTTTAAATATATTTTTAATGTTTTTATCGTTATCATTTTTTAAGTTACTTTCATTTTTTTGAATGATAAAATACATTTCTAGTTTCTTATTTGCTGGAGCAGAATATTTTTTGGAGTAATTAAATACGTAAAAATAGAAATTTGGACGAGTAGGTTATGAGTAGGGTTTGGAAGTTGTAAGAGCTAAAAAAGGCAAAATATGCACGAAAAAATTACAAAATATGCATTGAAAATTATGTTAGAAATTTTTTAGAAAAATATGAAACATGCATAATATGCGTATAAAATCATCAAAATATGTAATTTTTAACTAAAATTCACAAAATATGCAAAATATACATTTTCAATTTTCAATTTTTTAACTTTCCATTGTACAGTTCAGATTTCTAGTTTGGTCTGCTATAAACTGAGAGCATACAGAAAAATATGTAATTCTTTAAGTAGGTATTTAACATTTTGTTGAGTATAGGAGTAAAGTGGTATATGATTTTTTTTTTTAAATAATATTTTAGCAGTTAGAACGTCTAAAAGCGTGCAATTATTTTTTGTTGAACTTTTTAATGTTTTTTTTTTTTTTTGCTTAAATTGATTCCTAAAACAATATTTTGATTTATTACTAGATCTTCGAAAAAATTATTTTTAGCACTACTTCTAGCTAGCAAGCTATTTTGGAAAATTGACTAATAAAACGCGAAATAAATTTCTAGAATATTTTTTAGAATACAGTTTTATTATAATTCAAAGTCCGCTCTTATCCCACTTACTACTTAAGATTTTATATGTTAAAATTATTTGTTAGTAGCTTTTAGAAGGACTTCGACCTATATGAGTTGGTATTAAATATAATGCAACTTTAGTGTCATAATACACTGTTATACATTATTACATTATTATATAGGTATATACTGTATATTATTATGTAAATTAATAGAAATTATGCCGATTAAATATTGAAAAAATTCTTTAAAACCACTAATATTTGCAAATTATTTTGTAGTTAAATATATATTATATTTTCAATTTTTGACAGCTTATGCATGAAAATGTAACATAATAAGCTGTGACATTATTTTTTTTATTTTATTTAAATTCGAAAAAAATATCTATCGTAAACAATTAAATTTTTTTGCAATTATGCGTGAATAACTATTTTTTTCAGGCATTAAAATATTCAAAATATTTAGGATATTATGTATAACACTAAAACTTTAATATTTAAAGTTATATGTAATAAGAATTTATTCACATGTTTCTATGTTGGTATTGACAGATAAATGAAATGCTGTTTTTTTGACAAAAATTAGTTCGACCTACCATAATATAGGAAGATATAATTAGCATAATAATAATTATAATATGCTATTATTATAAATGGTATTGCAATCAGTTTGTCGAAATCAATTATTTGAAAAAAGGTTTATTGGTCAAATGTATAGTTATATTTATTTAAATACATTTCACTCATTACAGTATGTAAACTAGGATATTTAACATTTCAAGATACGAACTCTTGTCTCCTCTACAAATCATACCTAATAATTTCTATAATTAATTACATCTTTTAGTCTTAAAACTATTTTCAATATTTTTATTATTTTATTATTGTCAATAATTTATAATTTGTAACACGATATGGTATGAAAATAAATAATATTATAATTTACTCAAAATTTATTAAAAATATAGCTTGATCATAACGCTTTGGTTTGATTAAAAATTCTATGTTAGAACTCGTATTTAATATTTTGTAAAACTGTACCCTTATCTTTCAAATAGTAAACGTAGTGGCACGTCATGGCCATCGTAATCGTGTTATAATCTAACTTCTGTTTAATATAGTATTATAATATTATGAAATGATAAAAATTTAACTTAATTTTTTTTTATAGGTGGCATGAAATTCAATTATATTGTTAGAGAGAACGATTATACTTTGTTAGATTAAAATATATACTTGTATACTCGTATAAAAATAATTTACGTTTATAATTTTAATGAAAACTTTAATCACTAAAAATATTTGTTCGATAAATAAAAACTTTATTTAAAATTAATTGATACCCAAGTTTTATAAAATCAATTATTACAGGAGATGAAAAATGAGTATATGGATATGATTCCGAAACCATAGTTCGATCATTGCAATGAAAAACTGCAAATTAACTTCGTTCAAAAAAAAATGTCGTCAGGTCCGATTAAGTATTAAATTAATACTCATTGATTTTCCGATTCTTTTGGTTTAAACTATTATAAATTTGTACCTATACATG